ATTGGGCTCCCTGCTCCGCGGGAAGCCTGCTTCTCCCTCTCCCACTCCCCCTGCTTGTGTTCCCTCTCTTGCTGTGTCTCTGTCAAATAAATAAAATCTTAAAAAAAAAAAAAAAATGTGTAAGTAGCCGGCGTTGGTGGTAGAGTGGTGAGCACAGCTGCCTTCCAAAATGTGTAAGTCACACTGAAGTCCAAATACCGCTAAGATCTGTCCTGCAGAAATTTTGAGCCCCCAGGACCCAGGTGCTAAAATGAACAATGGTCAAAGGACACCTGACATTCTTTGGGACGCAAACAGGAGGAGAGTCTCAAAGTCTATAGCAGGGAATTAAGGGAATTACACAGTTTGAGTGGCTGAGTTTTACTTTATACCCAAACATGAGGGGACTTGGCTATTCCATATACTAGGGTCCACAGGTTTAACAATGCTGATTCAAAGTTCTACAAAAGTTTAAAATATTTAACAGCAGAAAATTTCTATTTCTAAAAAAAAACAGTAAAGGAGAGCTAGAACTAATTCTATTAAGAAATATTTGCATTATATAATGCTTTTTCCCTGTAAGTAAAAGATTACCTGAACTAAGTGCCACCAAGCAAATGGTTAATTCATAAAAAGCACTGGTAGTACTTTGAACATACTATATAAAGAAAAAACAAACCAATGTAATACTTGAATTAATTAAATGAAATGTTCCATAGGCCTCAAATTTAAAATTTTAGTAGGGTTTATTAGCTATATTTTCCTAATATATAAAATATTAAAACAGCATATGTAGTACTCAGTTTTTAGTAATTTTCAATCTTCAAGACCAACAGCCTTAATCTTTGATTGGTTTTCTAAATTCTCCACAATATCTTTCAGATAATCTTCATCTTTTAAAAAATATACATATAATTCTCTTTCCATTTGATGCAGTTTATTAGATGCCAAAATTTTTCTTTTTGTCTTCACATCAGCAAGAATATCAGTAAGAAGATGATTTAGCTTATTCAGTTGGGATTCAACTTGATGAAACTGCTCTGTTAACTCCTAAAAGAAAAAGAAAAATGCTTTTACTACAAAAGCTCTATTTGTAATAGTAATTATAAATTTAAGATGTAATTTACACACAAAGAATCCAAACGATAGGGGTGCCTGGGTGGCTCAGTCGGTTAAGCATTTGCCTTCAGCTCAGGTCATGAGCCGAAGGTGGGGGGGAGAGGTGGGGGGGTCCTGGGATGAAGCCCTGAGTCAGGTTCCCTGCTCAGCAGGGAGTCTGCTTCTCCCTCTCCCTCTGCCCCTCCTCCCTGCTTGTGCTCCCTCCCTCCCTCTCTCAAATAAATAAAATCTTAAAAAAAAAAATCCAAATGATGTAGTAATTATTCCCACGATTTTAATGATAAATGAACCTCAATTAAAAATCCACAGTAGGTTTAATATAAATTCTATGTAAAGTCAATTGCAACAGCTTTCAATAGATAATTTTAAGGGATTCAAAGCAAACTGTTACTTCCTAAAGAGTACCTAATATATAAACTATAATGTATATTCATACATTCAACAAATATTACTAAATGTCTACCATATGCCAAGCACTGTTTTAGAGACTACAGATACAAGAACACCATCTCCTTTATGGAGCTTATATTCCACTTAATTGATCAAACCTTGTTTTAGCCTAATCTCGGTCTGAGTGGTACTGAGAAAGCCTTGAAATGAAGCAATTACCAATAAAAAAGAATCACCTCAACAGAAATCTCCATTTTTCTTTTTTCACAGTGTTACAGAAAATAGAATTACATATAACATTCAACAATCCCAACTTACCATGTAATCCTCCTGCTCAAGAACCTAGACACGCCACTGCTTCTCCCTCTCCATCTGCCCCCGCTTGTGCTTGCTCTCCCTCTTTCTCTCAAATAAAATCAAAAAAAAAAAAAAAAAGGGGGGGGGGAATGCCTGGGTGGGGGGGCTCAGATGGTTAGGCGTCTACCTTCAGCTCAGGTCATGATCTCTGGGTCCTGGGATCTAGCCCCTCGTCAGGCTCCCTGCTCAGCAGGGAATCTGCTTCTCCCTCTCCCCCATGTTCATGCTCTGTCTCAAATGAATAAAATCTTTAAAAAAAGAAAAAGAACCTAGATATGCCAGCCCTTCACATTTAACAAAATGAAATGCCTCACTTCCTAACATTAAAAGCTGTTTATTAACAAGTTTCCATGGGTTTTTAATCAAGTATTCTACTTCTGTAAATTTCCAGCCACTATCACCAAAGAGAAAATCTATAGCTTTATCTCAACCTTCTGCACCTTCTCAGCATGGTCCATGAGCATGATAATCACCTGGGGTACTTGTTATGAACACATACTCCTGTACCCTACTGCACACTAAATTACTCAAACTCCAAAAGGCTCGCTGGTGATTCTAATAAGTTCAAGAATGACTGCTTTACACCTGTCATAAATGCCAGTTCCAGAGAGCAGTACTTCTTCAATTACACTTTGACAAAATCAAGTAATACCTACATTAAGTGGTTTTCTCTTGAGGAAAACTTGGTAAACTTGAATGAGAAACTATAATCTCACCTTCAATTTCAGTACTAAAGATCTTTTTTTTTTTTTTCTAAGATTTTATTTACTTATTCATGAGAGAGAGAGAGAGAGAGAGAGGCAGAGGGAGAAGCAGACTTCCCACAGAGCGGGGAGCCCGATGCGGGACTCGATCCCAGGACTCCGGGATCATGACCTGAGCTGAAGGCAGACGCCTAACCATCTGAGCCACCCAGGCGCCCTCAGTACTAAAGATCTTAATAGTTGCTAAAATAATATTCCCACAGATACTGAAAAATATCCTTCTGTTACTAACAACAAAAATGAAAACTAAAGTTTATACATATGGCACTTTTATATTTCACTGGATTAGGAAAAAACATTAAATAATGACACCCAGTAAGATTATAGTGAAATCACCAAACTTTAGTGATTCTAGGATGCAATCTAGAATTTCACATTTAAAAATTCACATTTTAAAGTATCTGAAACCCATACCATTTTATAATTGAGAGCATCATGTAATTATTATTAGCCACTCATAAAAAATGCTTTATCACCAACATTAAAATTTTTTTACTGTGATAAGAACACTTAACATGAGATCTCCCCCTTAACAGATTTTTTTTTTTTTAAAGATTTTATTTATTTGACAGAGACACAGCGAGAGAGGGAACACAAGCAGGGGGAGTGGGAGAGGGAGAAGCAGGTTTCCTGCTGAGCAGGGAACCCGATGCGGGGCTCGATCCCAGGACTCTGGGATCACGACCTGAGCCGAAGGCAGACGCTTAACGACTGAGCCACCCAGGCGCCCCCCACCAACAGATTTTTAAGAGTACAGCAGAGTACTGTTAACTACAGGTACAACGTTGTACAGCGTATCTCTAAAATGTATGTGCCTTACATGACAAACTTTGTACCTGTTGATTAACCCAATTCCCCCCCTCTCCAATCCCTGCTAACCACCATTCTACCCTCTGTCTCTGAGTTTGACTATTTTAGATAATCTCTGTAAGTGGAATCATACATTATTTGTCCTTGTGACTGGTTTATTGCACTCAGCATAATTTCCTCAAGGTTCATCCATGTTGTCGCATATTACAGGATTTCTTTTTATTAAGGCTAAATAATACTTTGTGTATATACATCACATCTTCTTTATCCATTCTTCCACTGGCAGACATTGTTTCCATAACTTGGCTATTAGGAATAGTTCCAATGGATGTAGGAGTGTTAATAATTCTTCAAGATCCTGATTTAAATTCTTTTGTTTAAATACCCAGAAGTGGAATTACTGGATCATATGGATCATTAATTTTTTTGAGAAAACTCCATACTGTTTTCCACAGCGGCTGCACCATTTTGGACTTCCACCAGCAGGGTACAAGGGTTCCAATTTCTCCACATTCTCACCAACACTTTTTTTGTTTTTTAAGATATATTTGAGAGAGACAAAGTGCATGCACATGCATAAGCATGTGAGTTGGGGGAGGGCAGGAGAGAATCCTCAAGCAGACTCCCTGCTAAGTGCAGAGCCTGACACAGACCCAGGGTTTGATCCCAGGACCCATGAGATCATGACCTGAACCGAAACCAAGAGTCAGACACTTAACAGACTGAACTACCCAGGTGCCCCTGATTTTGCTTTTTTGCTATTAGCCACTCTAACAGGTGTAACCACAATATCTCATTGTGGTTTTGATGTGCATTTCCCTGATGATGAGTGACACTGAGCAACTATCCATATACCTGTTGGCCATTTGTATGTCTTCTTTGGAGAAAAGTCTATTCAAGTCTTTAGCCCATTTTTTAATTGGGCTATTAGTTTTTTTTGCTATCACCAACATTCTCCATAGTGTAGAAAAATAAAGACAACAATTTTGAGTCAAAAAATAACACAGAAGGGGCGCCTGGGTGGCTCAGTGGTTGGGCGTCTGCCCTCGGCTCAGGTCATGATCCTGGGACCCTGGGATCGAGCCCTGCATCGGGCTCTCTGCTCAGTGGGGAGTCTGCTTCTCCCTCTCCCTCTGCCTGCCGCTCCCTCTGCTTGTGCTCTCTGTCAAATAAATAAAGTCTTAAAAAAAAAAGAAGAACTTCATGTTAAGTGTGAAGCTTTGAAATACCCTAATGATTTTAACTGTATATATTTCATTTAAGGTGTATATGCAAGAGTGATATAATAAAAATCTGTCTGTACCTAAAAGATATCTTCTGGTAAGTATTCAATAAAAATTCTAAATAAGAAAGTATTGTGCTGGGGCGCCTGGGTGCCTCAGTGGGTTAGGCATCTGCCTTCAGCTCAGGTAGTGATCTCACCCAGGGTCCTAGGATCAAGTCCCGCGTCTGGCTCCCTGCTCAGTGGGGAGCCTGCTTCTCCCTCTGCCCCTTCCCCTGCTAGTGCTCTCTCTAGCTTTTTCTCATGCGCTTGCTCTCTCCAATAAATAAAATCTTAAAAAAAAAATCATGCCAATTTAACAGAGAAGGTTTTTTTTTAGCAATTCACAAAATGATGGTGTACCATATGATCAATGGTGTCTAGTAGACATTTAAATAGTGCTGGTAGCAATGAAAATAGGTGTGACTGCTTGGAAAAGCAAGATGACAGCATCAAAGACCAAAAAAAAAAAAAAAAAGTACATACCTAAGAAACCCAATAATCCTACTTCCAAGAATTCATCCAAATTAAAGTATTTAACAACAAAAAGCTGTAACACAGGATGTACATGATACCGTTCAAGAGCAAAAAAAAAAAAAAAAATGAAGACTATCAAAAAATATTCAACAATGGTGGACTGGTTACAGAAATTACTGTAACATTAATAATTAAAATTATTCAGAGTGAAAATGTTTATTTCATACTGCTAAGTAAAAAGGAAGAATAAAAAAGATGTGTAAGTAAAGGTCAAAAACATATACCTTCAAATACTAGCCAAAAGAAAGAGGATATAGAAATATTAATATTAGAAAAAACACTGTTAAGACAAGAAGCACAGTAAGAATAGAGAAGATCATTATGTAATACTAAATAGTTTAATTCACTGCAATTCAAACCACCAGGATAATAATTCACCACAATTTGAAACTTAGATATACAGCTGAACCTTGAACAACGCGGGAGTCGGGGGGAAGGTTTAGGGCATCGGCTTCCTGTGGAGTCGAAAATTTGTGTATAAATTTTGACTTCCCCAAAACTTAACTACTGGTAGCCTACTGTTGACATACAGCTGATAAACGTGTTCTGTATATCATATGTTATGTGTATTATATACTGTAATCTTATAATAAAGCTAGAAAAAAAAAAATGTTAAGAAAATCATGAGAAAATACATTTAGAGTACTGCACTGTATTTATTTATTGAAGAAAGTTTGCATACAAGTGGACCGATGCAGTTCAAACCCACGCTGTACAAGGGTCAACTGTAACTTATAAAATAGACTCAAGTATAAAGAAAAAACTAATAGAGCTTCAAAGCTGCCATCATAGGAGATTTTTATAAAATTAGTAGATCTAGGAGACAAAATCAGTAATAGATTTAAAAAAAAATCATAATCAATTCAGGCTATTAGTTAGGATGGCGATTATATATTTTTTAAAAAAGGAAAATGACAAGTGTAGGCAAGGATATGGAGAAACTGGAACCCTGTGCACTGCAGGTGAGAATATAAAATGGTGCAGCTGCCGTGTAAGTCAGGCAGTTCCTCAGAAAGTTAAACACAGAACTACCACATGATCCAGCAATTCCGCTCCTAGGTATATACCCAAGAGAAACAAAAACAGGGACTCGGATACCTGTACACCAATGTTCACAGCAGCATTATTCACAACAGCCAAAAGGTGGAAAAAACCCAAGTGACCATCAACAGACAAACAGATAAACAAAATGTACTACATGCACACAACGGAGTATTACTCAGCCATAAAAAGGAATAAAATTCTGACACATACTACAACATGGATAAAACTTAATCATACAAATGTTGTAGGATTTCACTTATATTAGGTACCTAGAGTAGGCAAATTCACTGAGACAGAAAGTGGAATAGAAGTTATCAGGGGCGGGGCGCCTGGGTGGCTCAGTCATTAAGTGTCTGCCTTCGGCTCAGGTCATGATCCTAGGGTCCTGGGATCGAGCCCCACATCGGGCTCCCTGCTCCTCTGGAAGCCTGCTTCTCCCTCTCCCACTCCCACTCCCCCAGCTTGTGTTCCTGCTCTCGCTATCTCTATTTCTGTCAAATAAATAAATAAATAAAGGAAGTTATCAGGGGCTGGGGAGGAAGGAGAGAAAAATTACTGTTTATTGTTTAATGTTTCTATTTGGGATGGTGAAAAAACTCTGGAAATGTATAGTGGTCATGGTTGCACAATATATGAATGTACTTTTGTACTTAATGCCCCTGAATTATACATTTAAAAATGGTTAAAACTGTAATTTTACATTTTCTACATTTCACAATAAAAATATTTTAAAAAACGAATTACAAGCATTCCTGTTCCAAGGAAAGGTATGCTCGTTATCCAAATCAATCCTTCCATAAGAAAAAAATGTAAAAGGCTAAATGAAATATTTTTAAAAATCAAGCAAATCAGAAGTTTCCTAAAAGCAATAAAGAGATAACAAAACATTAAAAGGAACTATAAGTCCATAAAACATCCCAGATTGATAAGGCAGTCCAGGAACAGCTTTACTCTAGGGCAACTGCCAATCTTGGAAAATTAGAACCTAGGATTCTTGAGACTCACAAGATGAGTGGGAGAAAAATCAAAGTCCAAAGTCCACAGAAAGTGGGAAGTCAAATGGGAGACCTTCTTCATAATAAGCCAAGGACTCACAGGACACCAGTAATCTTAAGATCAGAATGGCCCAGAAATGGAAGAGCCCCTGGATAGAATTACAGGCCAGACAGGAATCACCTGGGTCCTCCAAAGACTAGGTAGACTTAACTAGTCCTGCCCACAGTATCTAACACAAGAAACATGAAGGCAAAAAGCACTTAAGGATCATTTATTTCATAATAAGAAGCTCCCTTCACCAGATAGAGAGGGATTTTATTTTTATTGTATGCCTCAATAAAGGTTGATGGGACCATTTGTTTTTAGGGAAAAAAATAAAAAATAATAAAACTAGAACTCTACCTCACATCACACATAAGGGCACCTGGGTGGCTCAGCTGATTAAGCGTCTACTTTCGGCTCAGGTCCTGATCCCAGAGTCCTGGGATTGAGTCCCACATCAGGCTCCCTCTTCAGCAGAGAGTCTGCTTTTCCCTCTACCCCACCCCACCCCATACCCCCCCACCCGCAATCTCTCTCTCTCAAATAAATAAAATCTTTTTTTTTTTTTAAAGATTTTATTTATTTATTTGAGA